TGTAAAAGTCACATGCCATCATTTTTTATCATCCTGTTGGTCACACAGATCAGCTATAGTCAGTGTAGTAAAGGACCACGCAATGCTGTGAACACCAAGCTATCAGAGCACCGTGGGCCTCTTAGAGACTGATTACCATGCAGAGATTCCCAAATTTATCAGCACAAAGTATTTCATATTACTCGCCAAAGATTTTTTAACCCTTGCTCTGTCTACAAGTCATCCTTCTTTATAATACCAACATTATTGATGTGTACTTCTTACTATTTTTATTTTCTTAACTTGTGTTCAAAATAAATTGGTAGAAATATATCTATTACATGGGAAAAAATTTTAGAGATTTTTTTGATGGTCTTTAATTATCCCTGCTTTATATTTAATCCCCTTGTTTTTTTTTTAATTTTTCCCCTATAATTTTCTTTAGGTTTGCCCTATACTATTTCTTATTTCTTGAGTTGAATCAGTAGAACACTTTTACTCTTAGTTTTTAAAAGAGATATATAGACTATATAGTTTTTAAAAGAGATATTTAGACTATATTTAGACTTCTCTGTTAATACTGTGTATAGCTGCATCTCACAAACTTTGACATGCGTAGTTTCTATTTTCTTTCAGTCCTAAATATTTTACAATATCCATATAGTTTCTTTTTAAATCCTATGAATTCATTCCAAAATATTTTTCTTTATTTGATTTCTAAATATGTGTTGGCTTGTGATTATCTTTTCTTATTAATTTCTAATGTTACTGTATTGTCGTAAATGTAATTTGTATGAGTTTTGGTTCTTGTTTCTGTTAGTTTTGTGACTTAGCATATAAAGTTTTTATATATTCTGTTTAAGTTTAAAGGAAATACGTATTCTCTAATGTTAGATACAGAGCCCATTAGATTAATTGTTTAAATCTTCTATGTCCCTACCATTTTATATGCTTGATTTATTGGATAGTTGGATGTATTTTTAAAATTTCTATGATGCAGTTGATGATGGCTGTGATGATAGTGAAGATATGATGGTGGTTCTGTGCATTTCTTCTTAAAATTCTACCAAGTTTTGCTTTACATATTTTGGAGCTATATTGTTAGATGCAAGCTACCTTATATGTTTCTGGTGAGTTGCCTCTTCAGTTTTTGTATGATGACCCTCTACCTCTAAAAATACTTTTAAAGATCAATTTTATCTGACATTAATATACCGCACCAGCTTTCTCCAGTTATTTACCTACTACATCTTTTCAAATCATTTTTTCAGTATTTATGTGTTGGGATTTTTGTTTTGTTTTGGTTTGGTTTTGGTTTTGTGAGGGGTTTGTATCACTGGATTTTAAATAGTTACACATAATGTTTTCCTTTTCATTTTTTCGATTGAATTTTTAAATTCATAAACATTTTGAGGTAATATCTCTACTCACCTCACAAACAATAAGAGTTTTAGAATATCTTAACTCTGATTGTTCACATCTTAACATGGTATTATTTTCTAGTATTTTTCCTTAATGTGTTTTTCATACATCTCCAATTTGTTCACGCACAGCCATACCCAGATGCTCAAATGAGAGAAGCGCTAAACAGAGATTCCAGGTTGTGGGTTCACACAAGTGAGGTGTATACTGTATATTTCTCTTCACATCACAGTCTAGAAAGTAAACAGGTAGTCCACCTGTGCCAGGCAGCTCCGCCCCGTGGGCTCATCATCTGGACAGCTGTCTTCTATTTTATTTTTCTACTTCCCCTCACCAGGCACTACAGTATTCTTAACTACCACACTGTACTTTTAGAAATTATTTTGACTACCTAAGCGATAATTCCTCTACCATGTCTTTTCTCTATCCTATAAGGAGGAAGACAAAATTCAGCATAGCAACTTACTTTAAGGAGGTGAGTGTGATTGTTCTTTGCTGCAAGGGAGGCTGGGAAATGTTTCTGGCTGACCAAAAATCTGGCTAAGTTGCACATGCCGTGGGGGGATATTAAGAAGGAAAGGGATAAGGAGCTTTGGAATGCAGATATCACTAAAATCCATTGTCCTTTCTTGACACTCCTCATTTGCTTCAATTTGGGCAGCATCCTCACAGTGACTGAAAAAATGATCACTAATAAGAATAACTCCATGTCCACCAACAACAATAATCTCATGGGTTCTCTCTCTCTCTCTCTCTCTCTCTCTCCCTCCCTCCCTCTCTCTCTTTTTTAAAGACAAAGTCTCACTACTTAGCTCAGGTTGGCCTTAAACTCATGGTGATTCTTCTGCCTCAGCCTCCTGAGTGCTGGGATTACAGGCATATGCCACCATGCCCAGCTCAAATGGTCTCTTATTTTAGTAATTCCAATGAGAGAGAGAGAGAGAGAGAGAGAGAGAGAGAGAGAGAGAGAGAGAGAGAGAGAGAGAAACATAGCTTTCAGGCTAGTTCCAGTTGAACTCTTGGATTTCTGGATTTCTGATAACTAGTCCTTTGTGGATCAGATGATTATTATTAAACTAGTCACTTTTACCAGGGAGATGAAATTCTCTGGTAAACAGGTGTGAATCATCTGGTCAGCCCTGAAAGATGAGTGGGGTAGGATCAATCCCACCCAGATAACGTGGCCTAAAAGTAGAGGAGACCATCTCAAAAGTCAAGTAACGAGGTATGTACTGTTACAACCAGAATAGAGTCTGAACAGGTCACATAAAACACTAACCATGAAACCTATCTGTTCTGTAGGGCCATTGGATTATACAATTGAATGTTTTAAAAATCCAAGTGAATCAATATGATGATATGATGGAAGGTGATGATGATAGAATTGACTGTTTCACTTTTACTTATATTTCTCCTGCTCATTTGTGATTCATTCAGCACCTGTGTTCATCTCTGTTAGGCCGACAATACCATTTGCTAACTATTTACTTAAGTGTCTGTCTGCCAGTCCTCCCGTAACACACATTTCCAACTGAGGGCATCTCTAGCTCTAAAGTCCATTTGTGTTGGTACTACAGACTAAACTTTCACAATGAAAAAAAGGTTAAAATCTCAATAACTCTCAAAATAGATACCCCCTTGCAATTCTTAAAATTCATTTTACATTTGAAAATCATTAGTGGGTTGAGCATCACAGCACAGTCCTATAATCCCAATTACTAGAAAAACTGAGGCAGGAAGATCAGTTGAGGTCTTGAACTTCAGCTCCTGAGTTCAATACCACCCTATTTACCAAAATGGGTCATATATGGAAATCGTTATTGAAAAGACATCAGCCAAATTTAGGGAGTTCTGCAGTACTGGGAGAAGTGTCAGACCAGATTATGTGACTTATAGAAATGTAACTCCTTAAAAAAATGTTTCTCCTAAGACTGAAAAACAGTGTCAGGCATAATTTTATTTATGGAATTCAAATCAAATCACCAAGAGGGAAAAACTCCAGTAGGAGGAAGTTCAGCAGAAAATTAACTAATCAGAGCTGTCTTCTCATCTTGTTGATTCTAAGGTTAAGAGGGGCTGTGTCTTGCAATCAGTTGCTAATATGAACACATACACAACTTACTCCCCCAGGAATACCAGTGCTCCAGCTTAACAGATGCTGTCTTTATTGAAAAGAAAAGGAGTTACAAGACTATGTGATGTGGGGCTGGGGATTTAGCTCAGCGGTATAAGCGCCTGCCTTGCAAGCGTGCAGTCATGAGTTCGATCTCCAGTTCCAAAAAGAAAAAAGACTGTGTGATGTGGTTAGTGGTAGAAAGAAGAGGACAAAACAGGACACAAATGGAGAGACAAGGAGAAATCAAAAGGTACTTGAAGGAATAAAGGATCTGGTGGAGAAAGTGTCTGAGAAGCTTTCTTGACAATACTTCTGTCAAGCACTATCTATGAGTGGTCTGGTGGACCTTTTGAATACTGACAATTACCATTATTGACCATTTACTACATGCCAGATATTGTAGTAAACATGTTTGGTGCATAAGCTCATGTTAGTTTTCATAAAAACCTTCCAATTCAGAATTAACAGCCTTGAGACTGCAGATTTAGCTCAGCAGCACAAGCACCAGCTGGCAAGCACAAAATTATGAGCTCAATCTCTGGTACAAAACAAAACAAAACAAACAAATTAATGCACTCATTCACACATAAAACTAAAGGTCAGAAAATTGCAATGACTTATAGGCCATACAGCAAGAACTACAAAAGACAGGATTTGGATCCCTGCAGATTTGATTTGATTCAAATCTTTTGCTTCTGCTTTGAGTCCTTAAATGCCTTACAAACCTCTTTGAGGAAGCTCCTATTTCCTCCACTTTAGAGATGAGAGGGCTGAGGCCCAGAGATGACCCACCTTATAATGACAGTGTCACAGCCAAATGAGAGCCGTCAAACTGCAAAATCGATTCTGCCACCAAATTGAGGAGGGTAAGTCTGGCAGACAAGGCTCTACCTTTTCCTAGGGAACACCCTCTATCCACCCCTTAACCACTTAGACCCTTTTCTAGAATCTTCTTTTCACATTCGAATCCCAACTGATGCCTCTAGGCTGATGAAGAGTAGGGTAGCTTTTGGGAAGGACTAAGAAACCCCTCCCATCTATACATTGGTAAGAAAGGGCCGGACTCCACCAGCCCTGGGTCCCCAAGTCTCCCACATTTGAGCAAGATCTGTAGAGAAGACTGATAAGCAAGGGCCTAGGTCAAGTGGCAGCCACTCTGGGTTCAAATACAGTCTGGTGACTGTCCAATAACAACAGCTCTCTGTTTAAAGACTCTGTTCTGGAACTGACATTTCACTAGGGATTTCCTTCATAATTTTTAAAAATTTGCCACCCCCCTCCTCCAACGATAGGCTCTATTTTACAAAAGGGAGACTCAGAGTCCCCAAGGTGAAACAACCAAAACAATGACAAGTTGGCAGGAGTTTGGGATTTGAAGCCAGCAAGGCCCTAGCTCTGCAGTTGGGGATGAAAAGAGGGAGGAGCCAAGGAAGGAGGAGAAAGAGGACCAGCTCCCAGCAGCGCGCGCTGACGACAGCAGGTGATTTTTTTCTGCAGCGCTCTTTCTCTCAGCATCTTTTCTGGATTTTTCCCCCTCCCTTGCTGAGCGGCAGGAAAGGGTGGGGCCGCTTCTCTGCAGCAGAGACAGCGGCGACAGCGTCTGCAGCATCGCCGCCTGCCGCGGCCGAGGCAGCAGAGCTCCGTCTCCACTGGAGGTGACAGCTTCTAAGCCCTGCTGGGTGGACGACTGTACCCCGCAGTAAAGAAAATCGAGCCGCTAACTCGCAGCCACACTGCCCAGCTCTTCCTCTGCGCCATGGCTTAACCCCGCGGCCACCTCGCTCGCGTCGCCTTGCTCGGCTGGGGTCTGCGGGGAAACGCCAGAGCGCAGGGAGGGGCGCGCCCCAGACGCCCTCGCCAGGGACTCCCGGACGCCGTTCCTCTCGCCTCTCGTCACCCGCAGCAGCTGCTCTCCAGCCGGTAATCCAGGGACTTTACAGACTATCTCAGTGATAGCTTCCCCCGGTTGTTCCCGGAGGGAGCAGGACGAGGTAACGGGAAGATCGGGAGAGAAAGCGGTGGGGACCACACTGGCGGGTACGGGCCACGAGCAGAAGCAAGACTAAAACCCTGCTTTAGAGCCACATAAAGAAAGCGAGGGCCGGCTTTGCATCCTAGCATCATGGCGTGGCCGTGCATTACGCGGGCCTGCTGCATCGCCCGCTTCTGGAATCAGCTAGACAAGGCGGACATCGCTGTGCCGCTGGTATTCACCAAGTATTCGGAGGCCACCGAGCACCCGGGAGCCCCACCGCTGCCCCCACCGCCATCCCAGCAGCAGGCGCAGCCGGCGCTCGCGCCCCCTTCTGCGCGCCCGGTAGCCATAGAGACGCAGCCTGCCCAAGGCGAGTTGGATGCAGTTGCCCGGGCAACGGGGCCCGCGCCCGGGCCCAGCGGCGAGCGCGAGGCAGCAGTGGCGCCCGGCCGAAGTGCCCCCGGCCTGGGCGCGGGCTCTGGCTCCACCTCCGGTTCAGGCCCCGCAGACTCGGTGATGCGGCAGGACTACCGCGCCTGGAAGGTGCGGCCCGAGCCCAGCTGTCGGCCGCGCAGTGAGTACCAGCCGTCGGACGCACCCTTTGAGCGTGAGACCCAGTACCAGAAGGACTTCCGCGCCTGGCCGCTGCCGCGCCGCGGGGACCACCCGTGGATCCCCAAGCCGGTACAGATCCCCGCGCCCTCTCAGGTTTCTGCGCCTATTTTGGGGGCGCCTAAGCGCCGGCCGCAGAGCCAGGAACGATGGCCGGTGCAGGTCGCTGCTGAGGCCTCAGAGCAGGAGGCGCTTGGAGAAGCCGGGGTCCTGGCTGCAGGAAAGGCTTCAGGCGCTGATGAGCGCGATACCCGTAGAAAGCCTGGACCTGCCTGGATGGTGCGTCGCTCCGAGGGCCACGAGCAGACGCCACTGCCCGCTGCCCAGGCCCAGGTGGGCGCCGGCGGCCCGGCGGCTGGAAAGGCATCAGGTGCAGATGAGCGCGACACCCGTAGAAAGCCTGGGCCTGCCTGGATGGTGCATCGCTCCGAGGGCCACGAGCAGACGCCACTGCCTGCTGCCCAGGCCCAGGTGGGCGCCGGTGGCCCGGCGGCTGGAAAAGCATCAGGTGCAGATGAGCGTGACACCCGTAGAAAGCCTGGGCCTGCCTGGATGGTGCATCGCTCCGAGGGTCACGAGCAGAAGCCCTTGCCCGCCGACCAGGCCCAGGCTGCGGAAGGTGGCAAGGGGCGTGCAGCGGTGGACGCCCTCAATCGGCAAATCCGCGAGGAGGTGACGAGTGCTGTGAGCAGCTCCTACAGGTGAGATGCGAGCAGCAGGACTGTCCAGGGCTCAGTCCCCAACATTGCAGGCCTCACATCTAACCTCCTCTCTCATCCCAACCACTCCCTCTACCACCACTGCAACTCAGGGCCTCTCTAGTCACAGATTTAGCTGCCGCCCTGTCCTGTGTAAAAGCTTTAGGATTATGCATTCAAGCATTCCCAGCTCTTTCTCTTTACTACTTTAACCATCCTTTCCCCGCCCTCTCCCACCCAGAATCCCTGCCTGCCCAACAGAGAAATGTCCATTTCTTCACAGCTGGCCAGTGATTTCCTCTGCACCACCTCTAGTTTTCCTGCTGCATTGGGCTGGATGCTGTCCCTGGCTAGCTCAGCCGGCCCCCCAACCTTGTTGCATTCCCACAGGATTCTCATCATTCTAGAATTCTTTCCAGGTGACCTTTCTCCCTAACTCATTTCACAGGAACCCTGCATTCTTCTGTCCCTGTCTCAGTCCCTGAGAGACTCAAGCACCACACCCTTTTCTAGATTCCCATAGGCCTTTACAAGTCGCCCTCTTCTACCACTTCAACTTTGATGTCATTTTCCTCCTGCTGCTTACAAACTCGGAAAAACATTGGACAACTTTCTTAACCTTTCTGGGGCTCACCTTCTTATCTGTAAGATGGAAGTGATAATAGAGATCTCTTAAGATTGTTCATTCATTTATTGATTTAAAATTAACTAGTCATTATAGTTTAGAATACCTATTGTATGGCACGTAGACATTGTGAGGATTAAGGGAAATTATTCAGAAAGACTTTCATGCGGAAATTATTCAGAAAGACTTTCATGCCTGGCGCAGTGGTAATTTGTTTCATTTCCATCCTGACTTTCTACATGATGCTTCATAGCTGATTTCCACTTCTTAAATGCCTCCAACCTTTTTTTCCCATTGAGGCATCTCCTCGCTCTTCTGCACCCTTAATGTTCTCCAGATGTGTTTCTTACTCTCTCACCATCAAGAACTCTGTCTTTACCATCCTTTATCACTTTCAGACACCTTATAAATAAATGCATTCGATCATGGAAACACACATACACACACTTTCTAGATTTATCTCTCTGCTACAACCTCAGTCCTTCCAGTGTACTTTATTACCCTTCATCCATCCAGGACATATGCATCTGAGTGTTTCAATTCTGCTCTTATGTTTCAACCAACCTCATTTGGCTAACAGATACACAATTGGCTCTGAATATGTCAGACTGGGCTTGGGGTCTCTGAGGAAGCAGATGTGCATGATGAGTAATTGAGCAAGAGGTATTCAAAATGTCCCAGTTAGTTGCCTGTTGCCTGCACAAGGGTGTGGTGGAGAGAACTGCAGAGTTAGTGCCTTCTGCCAGGATGCTATACCTAGCCTCATGTCCCTCATGTTAAACTGATGTCCTCAAAGAATATGACAAATACACCTTCCTCTGCTGGAAGACTAGCACATGCAGACATCTTCTCTTGTTAAGACAGAATCTGACACCCCTCCTCACTGCCCCAGAATTTCCTCTCTTACTAAATTCCACCTCCTACTTGCTATCTCTCTGTCTTTCTCTCTCTTGCTCTATCTCACTTGGTCTCCCAGCAATACATCACCTTTAAAGCTCTGGGTTAAGAAAGGACACATATCCTTTTCCTTGGATAACCACAGGGAGGTGGAATTTCCACAATGTTTTGGGAGGATCTAAAGAAAAAGAAAAGAAATAAACAAGAGGCATAAAAAAAAAAAAAACCAAGATGTAATTTTTCTATGGCTTTCTCATTAACAAGGCCCTTCTTCATCCTCTGAGAACATTAAAGCTGACCCAATACCACACTTGGCCTGCTGACTCCATCTTCTTACAGCCATTCTACCTGCAGCAGGTGGAACCTTACCCCCGTCAGGCAGATGCTCCATAGATAGTGTCAATCAAGAGAGAGCCCAGGTTCCCAAACTTCTTTGGGTGATCATACTCAGTAAATCAGTTCATGTTTCTAAACTGGCAGGACTTGCTTTGTTTGTGAATGATTTGCTAGTCAGGGAATGGCCACACCTAGCAAATACAACTTGCTCCAAATTTTGCTTTGTGGTTTTGTTCTGTATAGAGTTTGCCCCTCCAACAAACCTTACCTATGCAACAAGCACAGTGTCATAGTACACAGTCAAATCACACACATACTGGAAAGGATTAGATTGAGTAGGGGGAGACTATGATCTAGCAGCAGGTGAGGAATAGCTATTTTTAGCAGCAATCAGAATTGTATCAACCTATCAATAAAAATCTTTCAATATCTAAAAAAAACTTTAAATTCAGGTCTTCTGTAAAAATTAATCATACATATGGCTTTGGGTCCATCAGTGCCATTTTGATGTAGAATCAGATGAATTTTGAAACATTGAGAGAATGAGTGTTGCCAAGAGACATCAATTTCTTTAATGAACAATTTGAATGCATGACAAATTTGATATGAAAATTTAACATTGATTTTTCTCCCAGAAGATGAAAGTAGATGTGAAAAACAAGACATTTGAAATTAAAAATGCAAGGAAAATGCTTGGAAATTGTAGGTTTATCTAGAACATTGATTTGCCTTCCCTATTGTTTCATGTTCTTTCCTTTGCTATGATTCTGCATTTCTCCTGAATTTAATTCAAGTGTGCCCATGTCCACTACAGATGGCCTTGCATCCCTTAGAAACCAAATAAGGCTCCATTTCAATGATAACTTGATTTCCAAAACCTTTTCTTCTGCCACTCTACATAAATCAGAGTGTGTTTACACCATGGTGACTGGTTTCTCTCATGGGTTTTACCAGTGATATCTGTCACAAGATACCAATGTGAGCAGTTTGCTGTAATAAAGGATCCATAATACATCAACTTAATTTATTAGTATGTAATGTAAAATGTACATTCAATATTCAGAATCATATAATATACGATATATGCTCAATATAGAAACCTTTTGACACTTTAGTTGTGAGAAATCTTCCTTATTCAATTGATCTGATTAATCTATTCATGTAGGATTTCTACATTCAAGTGGCATTTGAGGTATTTTTAGGATTAATCACATTTATGAGGTTGATCAATTTTTAATGCATTCATTTTACCTAGATGGCATTATAAAATTGAGAAGCATGTCTTTATTACCATTTTTAATGTTAAGGATGGATTCCACTGCGCAGCCATTTGTGACTTCAGACCTGGCTTTCTCTGTTAGGAAATAGATGAGTCAGAAGGAGAGAATTAAAATTCTCCTCTCAGTCAACCCCAATGCCCCAGCCATCAGTTAATGGGACTAGATGGGGTAGCAGGTGCTCCCTATAGAAATGCTAATGAGAAATTCTTCCTAGAAGAAAACAGTGGCGCACTGGGAGGTAGAATTAATAAACCAGAGCAAAATATTTGAAAAATGAGATCAATAACAAGAAAATCAAAAAGAAAAAAAAGGCAACTAACCTTGCATGAAGGTTAGAGAAAGGCCCATCTGACTTGGCTTATGCTGTGTGGAACATCCTTGCACCCCAACCGGCCATTTCCCTAATTTCCTCCTGCCCAAGTCCAGCTATACCTCAAGGCCATCTTGGGCACTGAATCTTCAGTGATGCCTTTTTAACTTCTGTCGATCAGAATCACTTTTATTCTCTATTCCCAGTTAACTATCTGAGCTCTTGTCACTGTCACTTTATTGTTGAATATAGTTTGTCCATATCTGCATTCTGCCCAGGTCTTAAACATATGACTAGAAGACAGTATTTTGTTCATTTCTATACCTTTCACAGCCTACTATTGTGCCTCAGTGCCACAGAGATTTGTTGATCCAATGGAATTTTTAGGTTTTGGTAAAACTTTTTTTCGCTTATATATTAATTATTTCCTTTAATTGAACTTATGTCAGAAAATGACCACCCAGTCCTGATTTGTATCAGCCAAGATGCTGGGGATACCAAATGAATAATGTGTGATCTTATGTAAGGAAGTCATGGCTTATTTAACTAGGATAAAGTTTGAATTGTACTAGGTTACACCAGAGGGAAATGTTTTGTGAGGGTCACCAAAAGTGTGCTTTGACCTAGGGCAGCTAGCCTCTGCCTCATCTGCATATTGGAATTGCTGGAGACCTTTAAAAATGCTGACAGATGCCTGGCCTGGGTGTGATCTGGGCATCTGAGTGTTCTAAAACTATTTCAGGTGATTTTACACTTGGTCTTAGCCAAAAGGCTGAGAAGCCATGTTTCAGGTGATTCTAAGGGGCAACCCAGGTCATGACCTATATACTTTCATAAAGGCAAGCTGACCAAAATCCAGTCTGCAGAAGAATCACTTGGGGAACTTTTCAAGGTTCAGATTCTGGGGCCACATCCTCAGACATGCTCATTCAGTACCTCTGTGGAACCTAAGTATCTATTTTTAACAAAGCACTCTAGAAAATTTTGATATGGTTGGACATCAGGCTTTTCTTGGTAAAATATTACTCAGAGAAATTTACCCATATACAATCTTGGTAAATTTGCTTTTTATGCAAGTCATTCATGTTCTTTGCATATTGTACATTTTGTAGTTTTTTCCCTAAAAATCATTTTATATATTTTTAAATTTTGTTTATATAGCTAAGTCTTTAATAATTTAATTTTTGTATATAGGATATGAATTTTCCCATCCTATGAAATGTCATTTATTCCATGCCCTTTTAGAAAGTTTGCCATGGGTTAGGGATGTAGCTCAGGGGCACAGCACCTGCCTGGCAAATGCAAGGTCCTGAGTTTGATTCCTAGTGCAAACAAAAAAGAAAAGAAATAGGAAGTTTGTCTTTTCCCCACTAATCTGGAATAACTCTTCTATCACAAAAGGGTCACAAATTCTTGAATCTTATTTCTGAACTCTTTTTCTGTTCCATTAGCTTTCTCTAATGCCACATTATCTTTTTAAAGCTGTCTTTTATTATTGTTCCTATTGTGAAGAGTTCATCATTTTTTAAAATTTATTATTATAGGGCTGGGGATT